ACAGTCAGAAGCGGCTTCCAAGAGAAGGGGGCACTGCAGCTGCATCTGAGGTAAGGGGCCAGGAGGAGGGTCCTCGGGGCTGGGCATGAAATGGCCACAAGCATGAAGGTGCCAGGAGGGCAGGAGGAGCCCTATGAATTCTGGCACAGGAAGCCCCTCCCCACAGAGGTTGTCACCAAGTGTGTGTCCAGTGATGGACCCAGGAAACAGTGCTCTGGGCTCCACATTGTGCTTTGGGTCACATCCCCCGCCCAGCTAACCTGTGTGGGGTGCCGACCCTGCACCACACACCATCCGTGGCTGTCCTAGAATTATCTCACTTAACCCAATCGCCCCCCAACCCCTGCCAGGCGTCTCTGTCATTTCACTTGGAGAGGAGGTGCCAGTAAGGGCAGAGCCAGAGACCCACTGGTATTGGGAGTCCAAGTCCACACTGAATCCCAAGCCCCCAAGGAACCCCCTTGTCACCCTGCGACCCTCTGGCCGGGTCCTGCCTGGCATCCAGGGCAGGGCGGGGAGGCTGGCTGGGTGAGCCGGGGGCCAGGGGCACACATACAGGGACATGCCCACTATTCCCAGGAAGGGTTGAAGGAAGCTGAGCCCTCGCCTCCCACGGTTGGAGGGAGAGGGGGGAGATTAGTAGAGAGCCCCAGCTAGGCAGAGATCCCCATGCCCCCGCGTACCCGGCACAGGGTGGGGGCCCCGTGGGCGGGCGGGCAGCTCCTACCTGCAGCAAAGATGGCCAGGGAGAGGTAGGCGATGGCCTCCCTGGTGTGGGCCTCGCCCTCGGCCCCGCCCGGCTGCGCCCGCAGGATGGCCACGGCCCTCGCGTGGCAGTGGCCCCGCAGCAGCTCCCGGTCCTCCCGGCGGAAGACATCCAGGGTGGGCTGCAGGCAGGCGGTGTCCCCAGACTGGACGACTTTCTTCGCCAGCTGCCGGGGCAGGAAAGTCATAGCAGTTCCTCCTGCGCCCTGGTCCTTCCCACCCAACGCTCCCGGCAGGGTCGGCTCGCAGGGGCGTGGCCAACGGGGGCGTGACTCACGGGGGAATGACCAATGGGCGTGCTCACGGGGGAATGACCAATGGGCGTGCTCACGGGGGCGTGACCAATGGGCGTGGCTTGCGAGGGCGTGGCCCGGAGGCGTGGCCAATGGGGATAGCTAGGGCTGGAGTGTGGCTCCTGGGCCTGGCTCGTCTTGGGGCGGGCGCTGCGAGTCCCCCGGGAAGGCTGGGGTGCAGGGGATGGGAGCGCCCCTTTGGGCTGCTCCTCTGCTGCGTGGCGGGAGTTGGGGGGCCCCAATGTCCCTGGGCCGCGCCTCCTCCTCTGTGCTACGGGAGGCGGAGGAACCGAAGCCCTGGGACCAATGCGCGCTCTGGGCGGGGCAGGCCGCAGGTGGACGTGACCTTGGAGTTCAGAGCAGCTCCCCCCAAGGAGACCGGATGGTGCCCCTGCCGGCCGCTCGCTGTGGACACGGGTCCCAAGGCACCCTGTACCGCCCAGCGCGGGGAGACCAGACGCCCGACCCAGGTCAGAGGGGACGGAGGCCGCTGACGGGCTGCACAGCTTCGGTCCCCGAGCCCGACACCTTCCCCGGGACACACCCTCCTGACCACGGCCCAGCAGGAAGCCCTCACGTCTACGGAGCGCCTGCCGCATGCTGGAGGCCTGCTGGGGCCTGGGGCAGCTACTCCAGCGAATTCCCACGACAACCCGCAAGACCAGGGCACAGACGAGGAGCCTGGGGGTCAGAGAGGCGACGGACCGGCCGCCAGAGGTGCCAGAGCCGGGGCTGGGAGAAGATCTGTCTGCTCCAAGGTCCGGGTTGCCGGGCACAGAGCGAGGGGCCACCGACCTCACCTGGTTGGCGTCGTAGAAGAAGCCCCTCCGGAGCTGCAGCAGGGCCAGCCGCACCAGCACGGGGGCCGCCTGGGGCCTCCGGGAGAGGGCCACCAGCAGCGCCTTGTGGGCCTCGTCCAGGCGGCCCAGGCGGTACAGGGCATCGGCGGCCAGGAGGCGTGAGGCCTCATCTTCGGCGTCCAGCTCCATCAGGAGTGTGGCCAGCTGGTACACGCCCTGGGCGTCCCTGCAGAGAGAGAAGCTGGGGGAGCGTGAGCCCCTCCCTACACCCTGGCCACGGGCAAGGCCTACCCTGTGCACCCGGCCCAGGTGGCCCCCTTTCTGCTGGGCTACGGAGACCAGGGTGCTGCTGGAAGGACCCTTATGGTGCCGTTCCCAGAATCCTTGGCCCCCGCCCCTCTGTACCCTCCCACCACCCCGTGGGGCAGGCATCTTGCAGAGCGGAGGGGTTGTGTGCTGACCCCAGCCAGCCCTGCCTTCCTTTCCTTTCCTCCGGGAGGGTAACCATGTCAGCCTTGCTGAGCTCAGGGGAGTGTGGGAGGCAGAGCCGGGGACGCACCAGATTCGGCTCCTGGTGCCCTGGGGATGTGAAATGAACTCCCGCTGGGAGAAGGGGTGGGGGCCCTGGAGTGAAAATCCCCAGAGAGAACAAATACAAAGGGTCCCAACCCCACAGGTGAAAGTTCTTTCTCACCAGCAAATCCGAGCAACCAGGGGGAGAGGAAGTGTGTGTGTGTGTGTGTGTGTGTGTGTGAGAGATGGTCACATCAAGCACCAGGCCCCCTCCCGGGGCCCAGAGGGGCAGGCGGACAGCTCCAGAAGTCCAGGACCTCACAGGCCGCACTGCCCGACCCAGGACGCCCCCTCTGCCTCCAGGTTAAGGAAACAGGAGTTACCAGGGATGCGTTATAACTAAGAGCAGAAGCTGGGTCCTGAGGGTGAGGCCACGGAGGGGCTCCTGGGCTGCGGGAACCTAGCTAGCGGCAAAGGAAATGTCCACGATCTACTGAGTAAAATAAGCGGGCTATAAATGGCAAATAAGCACAATTCATTTTGGTGAGCTGTGTTTTCTATGCACAAAGAACCAGCTGGAAAGGGGAGGCTAACGGTGGGGTGAGGGGTTTTATGTTTTCATTTCCGTGCTTGGGTTTCTAATGTTCTATCTCAGTCCTTAACGCGTCGCTGTCAAGGACTGAGATCTGGGCCCTGGCGCGAAATCTGCCTCCAATGACTTAAAGAAATCACCCGGCTGCCTGCCTCAGTTTACTCATCTGCACGACAGGACGCAGGCCCAGGAGGGCGCGCACGGAGCTAGTTTTTTACCCTTCCTGCGCAGCGGAGCCGTCCGTCTCCGCGGCCTGACTGCGGCGGCCCCGCGCGCCCGCGGGTCCCCGGTCCGGCCTCCGCT